GCCAACCTGAGGCAGATTGCCGCCACAGGTGCCGTCGTCGTCGCCGGAGCACAAGGGAGCCGCCGTGCCGGAATTCTAAAATTGGCCGAGTGGACCCTTAGTCTGATTTTTTGGTTTATTTGGGACACTTGTAGGTACCGTAAACGCATTTAAGTTCCCGAAGGAAAATTAAGTGAACCTAGGGACCGCCCGTAGGTGCAATAACCATCTAGTTTTCAACGTTGAATCAAGTAAGGACCCCTCACCCTATTTCATATCATAGATGTGAAGTTTGAATAAATAATAACACGGTCTTTTGTACAAGTTAGATAAATATATATAATTAATTACAGATTGCTAATGGAGCCCAAAATCGGGCATTATTTTCTGTTGATTTATTTTAAAGTTTAAATGCATGATGGTATCTAGTTTGTCCATTCATGATTTTAAATGCATGTATTACTGTATTACTTGATCACTGTGTGATTTTGGAATTTAAGATATGATTGTATTACCGGGTACATGTTCATTGTTTATGTGATTGTGTTTAATTTGGTAACGGAGATTAAGGATAAACAACAAAGGGATGTGATCTGATAAATGAATAAGATGACAGCCTCACTAGATATCCTATGAGATAGTGGACGGATCGGGTTCATAAGGAATCCTATCGTGAACGTTGTCTTATACCGGACGGGGTATGGAGACTTGGTCATTTGGCGCCCATACCGGGCGGGGGATGAGGACGACCCACTTTACCCTCATACCGGATAGAGTATTGAGGTTTAATGTCTTGACGCTCATACCAGACGAGGTATGGGGACGACTTTGGAATTAAGATTGTTAATGAAAAGGGTTCACGTGTAGCGGGGACACCCCTATAGATCCCAATGGATACTAGTAAGCTGATAAAAAAGGGCAATTGTTATTTGATGATTTGAATATAAAAGTATAATATGTACTATGTTGCAGATTATATATGAAATTATAATATTTATAATGTTATTATTTCCATAAGTTATTTTTATAAATCTCACTGCGGTAAGTGGACATTAAATGGTTTTATTATTGATAAATGAATTTGTTTAAAATTTGTGCTCCATTGGTTGTTTTTGGTTTTCTACCAACCTTTAATTCTGTGACAATGATATATTGTGATATCCTTACTGGGCTAGTGTAGCTCACCCCTTATTTAACCATTTCAGATCAGGAGGATCCGGTCCCCAAACCTGATCCTCAAGAAGGCTACAAGTAGACCCTAGATACTTTATAGTTTCTTTTATTTTTTTCTATTTTTCGTATTTCTTTCAGAAAATTTGTTCCGTGATGTTTGTTAGTACTTTTGAGTTATTGTGTAAGGGATGTTAACCTTAACCTCTATTTTGCTTCCATACTCATATACATTTCTTTTTAAATTTTCGGGATCATTACAGTTGGTATCAGAGCCGCGTTCCTTGCACCTGTCCCTTACACAATAATACTTAGAGAAACACCAAGCAATGAATTATCACTCAACAATTCCTTGTGAAATGCAGGTACAGAGAAATGAGAAGAGGAAGACCCCCACTAAATCGGGTAGCCCGGGAGGGTTCACTCAGGAAAGACGTGGACAGGATATTTGAGATGTTAGAAAGACTCATTGTGGTCCAACAGGGTCGAGAAGAGAGGAGGGAGTTACCTGACCCTCTCCTGCTGCCACAAGTTGAGCCACCACTGCAGCGAGAGGATCCTGAGCCACCCCGGTACGATCCTGCTCCTCCACAGTACCACTCGGTACCACCGCTACAGTATAATTTGGTGCCCCCGCTGTATCAACAAGTACCACCATAAGGCCCCACAGTTTACCATCACCCTGGCCCAGTCCTTTTCCCACGGGACCCAGTTCCTCCCATGATTGACCCAGGCTACATAGAGAGGTATAAGAGACTAAACCCATCCACTTTTGCAGGGGGATCCTCTTTTGAAGATGTTGAGTACTGGTTGGTAGAGACAGAGACGACCTTCAAGACCTTAGGGGTGACTTCTGAGCAGAAGGTCACCTTTGCTACCTACATGCTAGTGGGAGAAGCAGACTGTTGGTGGGAACTCAAGCAAACC